GGGCCATCTGGTCAACCCCTCCCTGCTCCACGCTCTGGGGCCATCTGGTCAACCCCTCCCTGCTCCAGCCTCTGGAACCATCTAGTCAATGACTCCCTGTTCTAGCTTCTGGAACCATTTGATCAACCCCTCCCTGGCCCAGCCTTAGCTGGCAGGACACAGGGAGAGAGTACAAGACTCACTTGCGGGCCAGGTATCCCCGGGCAGCTGCCTGGAAGGACACAATGATGTCCGTGACCTTCAGGTCCCGTTCCTCCTCCAGCTGGGCCAGGACCCCAGCCCGGAAGAAGATCTTGCTCTGCCCCACGCGGTAGAGGTTGGGGTCTAGTTCCAGGGCCTGGATCTGTGAGGGTAGGGAAGGGGTGATGAGAAGGGAGGGATGATGGAAGGAGGGCCCAACGCCCCTCCTCCATCCCCTGGGCCCCCGTCCGGCCTGCACCCACCCCAGGCTCCGCCCCACACTCACCATCTTCTCACAGGCCTGCTTCCCATCCATAAAGCCCTTGGGGATGGCGTTGGGTGTCAGGATCTCATACCTGGGTGGGTGGGGAGGGGTGAGGATAGAGAGTTACAACAGTCACTGAGCACCTGCCACAGCTGGGACTGGGCTCGGAGTGACAAACAGCAATAACAACCACAACAAGGACAGCAACAAAAACTAACATTAGACTGTGTGCCGAGCGCCTCGCACCAAGCTGAGAGCATTAATACCGCCACGCATCACAACATTAAGGGCAGTATCTTTCTAAAATTTATTTTGCCTGTTTCTCCTTACTTTTTTTTTTTTTTATTGTACTTCAGGTGAAGGCTTACAGAACAAATAGTTTCTCATGAAACAGTAGTACACATATTGTTTTATGACATTGGTTAACAACCCCACAACATGTCAACCCTCTAACTTCTCAACCTTTTTCTTTTGGTGAAAATACACATAGCCAAAGATACACCATTTCAAAAATTTCTACATGCACAGTTCAGTGACATTGACTACGCTCTTCCAATTGCGCTGCTATTCTCACTTAAGATGAAGGCTTACAGAACAAAACAGTTTCTCATTTAACAGTTACTACAAATGTTGCCCTATGACAATGGTTAACAATCTCACAACACATCAACAATATCCTTACTCAACCCTGGGTTCCCTATCACCAGCTTCCTTGTCCCCTTCTGCCTTCTGGCCCTTGTCACTGGACTGCTGTACCTCATTAGTCCCATTTGGTTTTACGAGGCTGTCCACTCCCAGGCTGAACGGTGAACCTCGGAGATAACTTCACCACTGAGCTAAAAGGGTGTCCAGGGGCCATACTCTCGGGGTTTCTCCAGTCTCCTTTAGGCCAGTAAATCTGATCTTTTTTTTTGTGAGTTAGAATTATGCTCTACATCCTTCTCCAGCTCTGTCCAGAACCCTCTGTTGTGATCCTGGTCAGAGCAGTCAGTGGTGGTAGCCGGGCACCATCTAGCTGTACCGGACTCAGTCCGGTGGAGGCCTTGGTAGCTGTGGTTCTCCTTACTTTTTAAAATGTGGCTGCTGGAAAAAGTTTAATTACATACACAGCTCGTATTTCTAATGGACAGAGCTATTATATACAGCTTATGTTATAATATTTACCAGATTACTTATAATAAACCAAAAAACCAAACCAGATGCTGTTGAGTCGATTCCGACTCATGGTGACTCCGTGTATGTCACAGTAGAACTGTGCTCCATGGGGTTTTCCATGGTGGATTTTTCCAAAGTAGCTGCCAGGCCTTTCTCCCAAGTCACCTCTGGGTGGACGCGAATCACCAACCTTTTTGGTTAGCAGCGAGTGCCTTAACCGTTTGCATCACCCAGGGATAATTTCCGTTCTATTCTACTTCATTTTTTAAGAACTCCGTATTGAAGCTTGTGAACTGTTTCACAAGCCACCAATGATCATGGTTTGGAGATGAACACCGTAAATAAAAATAGCAGCCAACAGGTCCGAGGCTCTGTCCTTAGTGCTCAGGGCCCCTTCTTTTAGGGAACACGTTGAGTAGGGTCCTGTTCTGCCCACAGGTTATAGGTTGACTTGTCTCACCCCTCAAAAGATACGATGAGGTCCGAACCCTCGGTACCTGTGAACGTGCCCTTTTTGGATACAAGGTCTTTGAAGATTTATCAGGTAGGTTAACATGAGGTCATACTGGAGTAGCTGTTGTTGGGTGCCATCAAGTCGATTCCAACTCATACTGACCCCATGTGACAGAGCAGAACTGCCCCATAGGGCTTTCTAGGTTGTAATCTTTATGGGAGCAGATCGCCAGGTCTCTCTCGAGGAACAACTGAGTGAGTTCAAGCTGCTGCCCTTTCGATTAGCAGCCGACTGCAAACCGTTTGCGCTACCCAGGGACCTTAGATGACTAAAACCTGTTAAACCAAACCCGTTGCCGTTGAGTCGATTCTGACTCATGGTGGCCCTATGTGACAGAGTACAATTGCCCTATAGGGTTTCCTAGGCTATAATCTTTATAGGAGTAGATCGCCAGGTCTTTCTCCTGAGGAGATGCTGGTTGGGTTTGAACTACTGACCTTTTGGTTAGCAGCTGAGCACAAACTGTTTGCGTCACCCAGGGACCTTAGATGACTAAAATCTGTTAAAACAAACCTGTTGCCGTTAAGTCAATTCTGACTCATAGTGACCCCGTGTGACAGAGTACAACTGCCCTATACAATTTCCTAGGCTGTAATCTTTACAGCAGTAGATTGCCAGGTCTTTCTCCTGAGCACTTAACCACTGCACCACCAGGGCTCCTCACTGGAGTAGGATGGGTCCTAATTCAATATGAGTGGTGTCCTCATAAAAGAGCAAAAAAAACACTGAGACAGGGAAGACGGCCATGTGACCAGGGGCTTATCCTGCAGCTGCAAGCAAAACACCGCCTGGGGCTACGAGAAGCTAGGGGAGACGAAGGATCTCCCCACAGGGCCTTCAGAGGGAACACTGCCCTTCCAATACCTTGATTTTGGACTTCTAGCTTCTGAAACCACCCAGCAGCTCTGCGGGAAAAAGACCTGGCCATCTGCTCCTATAAAGATTACAGCCTAGAAAACCCTATGGGGCAGTTCTACCCTGTCGGGGGGTAGGAGTCGGAATTGACTCAACAGCACCTAACAACAACAGCCTCCAGAAGTGAGCATAAATTTCTGTCGTTTGTGTACTTTGTTATAGCAGCCCTAGGAAGCTCATACGCCATATCACAGAGGAGAAGCTGTGGCTCAGCAACATGAGTTAACTTGCCCAAAGCCTCCCAGCATGGATGTAGCGTTGGGATTTGAATGCGGTGTGGGTGGTAGCTTCTAAACCCAGGTCTCATCTCGCCCCTCCACGGGGGCCCCGGGGCCACTTACCGCTGCCGGAACTCCTGGAAGAGGATGCGGTTGGGAAAGCCCTGCCGACAGATGCGAATGCCTTCCAGGACACCATTACAACGGAGCTGGTCCAGCACCAGCCGGGGCTCCAGCTTCCCAGCCTGCAGAGCGGGGCAGGGATATGCAGAATCAGAGATGGCCACACGGGAGGCGCCATTCATACAACCACAACCTTCAGGGGGACCCACTGGAATGGCCGTTTGAAAAAAAATCAAACCAAACCCATTGCAGTCTGGCGATTCTGACTCATAGCAGCCCTATACGACAGAGTAGAACTGTCCCATAGAGTTTCCAAGTAGTACCTGGTGGATCTGAACTGCCGACTGACCTTTTGGTTAGCAGCTACGGCTCTTACGCCACCAGGGTTTCTGGAATAGCCATTTATGCGGGCCAAAAATGGCTGAAACACAGCAATTTCCTATAGCTCAACCTGCTGTTTACTGAGCACCTACTACATGCCAGGTAGCTAGAACCCACCAGCTGCTCTGCAGGAGAAAGATGTGGCAGTCTGCTTCTGTAAAGATTTACAGCCTTGGAAACCCTGTGGGGCAGTTCTACTCTGTCCTACAGGGTTGCTATGAGTCTGAATCAACTTGATGGCAATGTTTTTTTTGGTTTGTTTGTTTGAAGGCAAAAAGAGCAACAAGGCAGGGCTGTTGGGAAGGGGCGAATTTGAACACAGGACAGTCAGGGAAAGGACTCACTGGGAAAGTGACACTTGAAGAAACAAATGTAAGTCAAATGAATGAAGGAATTTTCCCAACAGGGAACCTGGGAGGGAAGTAACCTGCTCACGGTCAAATGGGTGGACCCAGAACCAGAAGCGGCTCTAGTCAAGTCAAGCAGCTGGGCCTTTACTCACTGCCAGAGACACACCCCCTACCCCCGGCTGGATCACTCACCCTCTTCTCGTGGTTGGGGATGATGCAGCGGACGAAGCTGGGGTTGGTGTTGCTGAGCGTGGCCATGAGGCGGCTCAGGGACTCCTTGTAGAGCTGTCCAACTGTCCGGAACATGCCGCGGCGGGGGCGGCCACCTGTTGGGCCATCCCCAAGGCTGTTCACCTGCTCCAGTCCCACAATGCCCTCCACTGTGAGGGGGAGGAAACAGATACGGGGTGGGGGGAGATTAGAAGTCAGTTTCAGGGGGCTCTGTCGACCAAATGTCAAGGGTCTTGTCATTTATAGGGCCTGGCACTTTATATGTGAAAGACCTCACACAATGTGGTAAGGCAGGTATTGTTAGCTCCACTGGAATGACAGGCAAACTGAGGCTCAGAAAGGTGAAGGTATGTGCCCAAGGTCATATGGCTTAGAAACTGAAGATCCAGAATTTGAACTCAGGCAGTGTGACTTCTCTTGAACTCTGGTCTCTGACCATCTCTTCTCAAAGACATGATTTCCATTTTCCTTATCAATAAATGATGATGACGACAATAGAAAATACTTACCTAGCACTTACTCTGTGCCAGGTATGGCTCAAAACACTTTATATACATCAGCTTATTTAATCCCCTCTCAAACCCCTAAGATCACTCCCATTTTACGTATGAGGAAACCAAGGCACAGACAGGGAAAATTGATTAGAAAAAAGCACAGTTGCATTTAGGAACCTTATCTGAAATAAAGTGAACCATCTCCATATTAAACCAGGTTTTCCAGAATCACCTGATTTCTGTTTTTGTTAGCTGTCATCGAGTTGATTCCAACTCATGGCGACCCCATGAGTGTAGAGGAGAACTGTGCTCCACAGCGTTTTTAAGGCTGTGACCTTTCAAAAGCAGATTGTCAGGCCTGTCCTTCAAGGTGCCTGGGAGGGTTCAAACTGTCAACCTTTCAGCTAGTAGTTGAGCGCTTAACTGTTTGAGCCACTGGAATCATGTTTTCTTCCTGGCCACTTGGTGGTGCCATTACAGCTGGCAAAAAATACCCATTCCTTCCTTCGACCCAGGTCTCCAATTCTTTGTGTGTTGGATCATGCCAGGTTTTCCAGGAACGCACAGCTGGGACAGAATCTAATGTCTTGCAATTCTGACCCCACCCAAGGTTCATCAGGGTCAACAAAATAACCCATGCTTAGGGCCTGGTGATGGTGGTGACTCAAAAACGGCATTCTCCGCCCCAGGTTAATGTTTTCTGTATTCCTAGTTATTATCAACATGATAATTGTCATTTATTATGTTCTCATAGCACAGGTAAGAGCCAGGGCTCGGGGACCCAATGTCTTGGGTTCAAATCCCAGCTCTGCCACTTTATTAGCTGTGTGACCCTGGGCAAGTTACTTAATCTCTCTGTGCCTCAGCTTCCTCATACGTATAATGGGGATAATACAGTGAAACTTGCAAAAGCGGGAACCTGTGTAAGGTGGAAACCTGTCAGAGAAGGAAAACTCAAATATTTTTCACTAAAAGGAGCAATAGAAAACTGGTAAGACTGCACCCTATCAAAGGCGGAAAAACTTGGGAGACTCGGAAAAACAAGGTAGCCCCTTTGAGTTCCGGCTCTCACAGTCAGTTCTGACTCAGAGCAACCCTACAGGACAGAGTAGAAATGTCCCACGGGGTTTCCAAGGCTGTAATCTTCACAGAGGCAGACTGCCACATCTTTCTCCTGCGTAACAGCTGGTGGGTTCAAACTGCTGACCTTCAGGTTAGTAGCCGAGCGCTTAACCACTGCGCCACCAAGGCTCCTTCACCGTGAATGGCACATGGTAAATGCTCAGTACACACTGGCTGATATGATTGCAGTGGTTTGTACTTTCACATGAGCTTTAGTTCTTAGAAAGGGTTCTGCTCAAGAGACAGAAAGGGCCACATAAACCAGACTTCATCAGCCTGAGACCAGAAGAACTAGATGGTGCCCGGCTACCACCAATGACCGTCCGAGAGGGAACACAACAGAGGGTCCCTGATGGAGCAGGAGAAGGATGGGGTGCAGAACTCAAATTCTGGTAAGAAGACCAGACTTAATGGTCTAACTGAGACTGGAGGTGCCCCGGAAAGCATGGCCCCTGGACTCCCTATCAGCCCAGAACTAAAACAATCTCCGAGGCCAACTCTTCAGACAGGGATTGGACTGGACAGTGGGACATAAAGTGATACTCCTGAAGAGTGTGCCTCTTAGTCAGGCAGATACAAGAGACCAAAGGGGCAGCTTCCGTCCAGAGGTGAGATGGGAAGGCAGAGAGAGTTAGGAGCTGGTTGAATGGTCATGGGGAATCAGGGGTGGAAAGGAGGAGTGTGCTGTCGCAGAATGGGGGGAGCAATTAGGGTCTCATAACAATGTATGTATAAAAAATTTTGTATGGGAGGCTAACTTGAAATGTAAACGTCATTTAATTACAGCAATAAAAAATAAAAGAGAGAAAAAAAAAAGAAAGGGTTCTGCTGCTACAAAGAATCTGGAAACTGCTGATAGAGCTGACAAAGAGGGGGAGCGGGTGAGAGACCTTGATACAGAGGAGAAAGGGCAGATGTTCAAAAGCAGGTTCCCAGTCCAATAGGCCCACCCTCCATGTCCAGCAAACCTCACCCTTCGATGCACAGAGACACCCACCCCCTGACGGGGAAATGGCAGAGCCGCGCCTCTCTGCAGATCCTGGGGGCGACGGTGAGAAGGAGCCAAGGAAAGAGAACTGCTGGAAGGCCCCGTGTTCTGGGGGTGAGGACAGATTGGGAGGGAGATGGCAGAGAGATGAGCAGGGGGAGGTGTGGAGGGGGCAGCATGATCATGAAGACAGGAGGGGGAAAGGTGGCAGGAAGCAAAAAAGAGGAAAGGGTTGTTAGTCAACAGTACAGGCAAAGCACAAGGGAAAACCTGGCAGTTGGCCATGAACATTTTTTTTGTAAATAATATTTTATTTTGTTTTTCGTGAAAGTTTAGACAGCAGGCTAGGTTTCTGTTTAACAATTTCTACACCAACTGTTCAGTGACATTGTTACGTTCTTCACAATGTATGAACATTCTCATTATTTCTAGTCTGCATCATAAACTTTTAAAAAGCCAGGGACCCTGTCCTGTTCGCCTTTTTATCTACCTACTGCCTGGTATCATGTCGGCTGGGAGGACAAATGTCCTTTTGAGTATTTAAGGTAATGAAAAAAAAAAAAACCTCTCTCCCCAGAGGCTGGGTCTGTAATTCTTATACTAAAAAAATCTGCTGCTGGTGAGTTGATTCCAACTCATACTGACCCTATAGGACAGGGCAGAACTGCCCCATAGGGTTTCCAAGGCTGTAAATCTTTACAGAAGCAGATTGCCACACTGTTCTCCTGTAGAGTGGCTGGTAGGTTCGAACCACTGACCTTTTGGTTAGCAGTTGAGCACTTAACCACTGCACCACCAGGGCTTCATTTTTTCTTATATTAGGTGTTCCTTTTTGCTCTGGCTGCCAGGAAGCTCAATGCTTGATGCTCCCGGTCAGCTTGTTGTTTTTGCCTCTCTGAGAGGAGCTTACCTCTTTTGCCTTTTCTTCCTGGGCCTCCAGGATACTGAGTGTCCAACCCCAGGCTTAGGGCAGCTGTGGTAGAGACTCATGCAAAAATGCCCTCAATTCTCCACCCCTCCCTGCTTCCATGCCCTTTGCCTGTGACTTGTAGCTCCTTGAATCTGGGCTGGCCTTGGGACTTGCTGTGCCCAAGAGAAGTGGGGAGGAAGTGACACTGTGCCAGTTCTGAGCCTAGGGCTCAAGATTTGCAGCTTCCCCTTGCTCTCTTGGAATCCTCTGAGAGCCAGGCACACAGGGGATGGGGCACGTGAGGGATCACCGAGCAGCATCATGAAGTCCAGAATGGGGCACAGTTTTTAAAGAAGCAGGGGAAGATTATCAGTTTGGAGGAGACAATTCTGGTTTTGTTACTGAACATCAAGCACTGCTTTTCAATCCCTCTTTTGAAAACTATATGAGACAGTACAGGTAGTCCCCGATTTACGACAGGGTTCCATTCCGATCACTGTCCTAAGTTGGTTCTGATGTAAGTCGATACCTCTTTTTTTTTTTTTTTAAGTTTTCATTATTATTGCCTTTTATGATCAGTATCTTTATAAATCCAATCTTTATTTGTCTTTGGGGGTTGGAAATATTATACATAAAGTCAGCAAATTATGTGCTGCAATATTGTATGTAGTATATATTACTAACAATAAGATGTACAAAAAAAAAAAGATGGTCGTAAGTGCCGTTCATTGTGACTTGAACATGTCGTAAGTCAGGGACTACCATACTGTGCTCGTCTAAAAAATCACCTATATGAGACCACATAGTCAACAATGACTTTAAAACAAAGATGAGAAGGTAAGGGAGCAAGGAAACTAGATTAATGGAAATGGAACAACCAGAATGGAAATCATGAGAATGTTCACACATTGTGAAGAATGTAACCAATGTAACTGAACAATCTGTGTAGAAATTGTTGAATGGGAACCTAAGCTGCTTTGTAAACCTTCACCGAAAACACAATAAATATGATTTAAGAAAACAAACTATATGAAGCACAAAAATAAAATTTCTCTTTCTAAAATCAGCTCACCAAATCAAGGAACCCTGTACTCTTTCGCTCTGTGAGCTCATTTTGGGAACCACTCATCTTGCTTATTTTTTTCTCTTGTCTAATTGCATTGGCTAGTACTTCTACAACTATACCATTCACTTCAATAAAAGATTAAGGCAAACTGACAAGATACCAGGGACCTGGAATCAGGAAAAACCAAGATGTGGGTTCTGCCAGCTTTATAAAGCCATCTCTCAAACTTCCTCTAAGGGTAGGAGGCAGCAGACAAGGCTTGGAAAGCCTCAGGGTCCAGTCACGAAGAAATTTGGCTCTTCTTCCCATGACTCCTAGAAGTATCAGTCCAAAGAGACTGATGACCAAACTCACATGATCGTTGTTGAGAAAGAAAAACTCTCCAAAACTATATCTCAGCCTACTGCTCCTTCCTCTTTCCCTGGGGGCTTGAAGAACACTTTTTGGGAGAGCAAAGAAAGCAAAGCATAAAAGCTGACTAATCTGTAAAACACTACCTTTCTGAATTCTTGTTGTTATTAATGGTTTTTCAGTTGGACCTCTTAACTTTTTTAGGTAACATTCACCATCAACAAATTTATGATAAGCCTGCCTCTTCCTTTACAATATTCATATGCCTATTTCTTTTTCCTGTCTGGTTGCATAGGCTAGTATCTCCAAAACAGTGTTTAACAGCAGTGTTGATAGTATACATCTTTGTCTTGTTTGTGATTAATGGGGAATGTTTTATCATTCAGTATGATGCTGGCTTGAGAATATGTATATGTATGTATATATGCATACACACACATATACATATAAAATCACTAATCTGAAATTCTGTTTATGAGTGTCTGGCCCACCTCCATCAGTTCTGGGTCTGAGCAGAGAACTCAGGTTCAGAACTCGGCCTCTGAAACAAACGTGCTCACACTGTGGGTTGGGAGAAGGGGTGTGCAGACTAACAGGGAGAGGGCCTGGGGAAGCTGGTCCTCACCATCTTTCCAGATCTCCGCCGTCAGCCGGTCTGTGCTTTGGTGAAGCAGGGCGGCAACGCTGTCATTCAGAGGGTCCATGTTTTTCATCAGCCACTCATTGGCCTTGTAGTCAACCTGAATGAAGTCAGGAAGAGGATGGTGGTGAGCATGTACAGGCTCACAGCTCTCCTGATTCCCCAAGGGGCTCACCAAGGGCAGAGTGTGTTGGTGCCACCTTGTGTCCATATCCTGAACTACACCCTCTACTAGCATTGCTCCTCTCTGTTTTCTTCCCTTATCTGGCCTCTGTCCTGTCCCTGTCTATGACATTATCCGCCACCACTTTCCTCCTTATTCATTCTGTTCATTTACACTGTCCCCCAAACATGCAAGCTCATTCTCACCATAATTGTCTGTACAAGCCTCCCCACCAGACAAGAGCTCCCCCGAGGGCAGGACCCAGGTCGGACTGATTACGAAGCATAGTGGGGCACATGGGAGGTCTTAGAAACTACCTGGGAAATGAACTGACTGCTAGCGACAGACCAAGCGAGGCATACACTGTTTCCTCTGCCTGGAACACCCTTCCCACCCTTCACCCTTCTCATCCAAGCTACCGTTGCTGGCTACCTGCTATGTATCATTTAGACCAAAGATTGGAAACTATGGCCCATGAGCCCAGTGCAGCCTGCCACCTCTTTTTGTAAATAAAGTTTTATTGCAACATAGCCTGGCCCATGAATTTATGTATTATTTGTGGCTGCTTTTGTGCTTCAATGGCAGAATTGAGGACTTGAGACACAGGCCCTATGGCCCACAGAGCCAAAAATATTTACTACCCAGCCCTGTACAGAAATAGTTTGCTGACCCCTGATTTACTCTCGTCTGTGAAACCTTCCCTGGCATTCCAGCTCTGGGCTCTGACATTGCCTTTAGCAGCCCCCATTAAAGCACCTATCAGTTTTACATCCTCATGGTCTGCATTTGTCTTCCTCCCAGATAAGGAACTTTGTGAGGGCAGAAACTATATATGACTAGGGTCCCCAGGTTTGCTCAGCACAGGGCTGAATACACAGGAGGTCTTTGTACATGGTTACCAAATGAGTGAATAAAATACATGCATGGCTTCTCCTAGTGAACTCCTACCCATCCCTCAAAACCCACTGCAAATAATCCCGCCTTAAGGAACTCTTTGCTGACTTCATCAAAAGAGTCCTTGCTCCTCTTTGGCATCTCCTAGCCCCTGCTTTGTCAGTGTCTGGACCCAGTGGATACCAGGTGGCCTTGATTTCCCTCTGTGCCCTCTCCACATCAAGACCCCTTGATCCCCACTACCTCCCACATGCCCCAAGGCTGGCTCCAGTCCCCTACCTTGCCTGCATAGTGCAGGACACTGAAGTCGGCCTGGTCCCGCAGTTGCCGTGGCCGCTGGAACTTGGGGTGGCCACCTTGCTCCTGGGCCACTTTCTCCACAAAGGATTTGTCGGTGGCCTTTGGGAACCAGCACTCCTCATCCAGCAGGGCCAGGAGTCCAGGGGGGTTGGCCTGATCATTGACAGAAAGGGGAATGTAAGCCAGATTCTCAAATACTGGACACTTAGGTTGCTGCTAAAGTTTGTTGTTGTTATTGGGGGCCGTCGAGTTGATTCTGACTCAGAGTGAGCCCACGTGACAGAGTAGAACTGCCCCATAGGGCTTCCTAGGCTGTGATCTTTATGGGAGCAAATTGTTCAGCCTTCCTGCCATGTAGCCTCTGGTTGGGTTTGAACCGCCAACCTTTCAGTTAGCAGTCGACCACTTAACCGTTGTGCCACCAGGGCTCCTTTTCTGCGAAGGTTTAGCTCTTATGAATAATGCTTAAACATACACCTAAACATCAGAACAATTGACTACAGTTAGAGCCACTGATAAGGAGCTCTGGTGGCACAAACAGATAAGAGCTCAGCTGCGAACCTAAAGGTTGGTGGTTCAAACCCATCAGCTGCTCCTCGGGAGAAAGACCTGGCAATCTGCTTCTATAAAGATTATAGCCAAGAAATTCCCTATGGGGCAGCTCTTCTCTGTCACATGGGGTCACTATGAGTTGGAATCAACTCAACGACACTCAACAACAAGAGCCAATGATTAACCCTTTGAATCCAGCCAGGCCCTGTGGTAGGCACTCTCTGCGTCCTGCTCATCAAGGGCTCACAGCAGATCTAAGGAGCAGCCACTGTCATTTTCCCCATTGAACTGATGAGATACCTGAGGTCCAGGTGGGGTGAGGAGCTATGCCAGGGCCATGTGGAGGGTGGTGGAGACGGGATTTGAAGCTGGGTTGGGGGTGTGCGGGTGGTGGCAGGGCCACGGGCTCACCGGACGCTCGATGAGGTCGATGCAGGGCTGCAGGTCGAGGCCGAAGTCGAGGAAGGTCCAGGGGATGCCCTCACGCTGGTACTCCTCCTGCTCCAGCACGAACATGGTGTGGTTGAAGAGCTGCTGCAGCTTCTCGTTGGTGTAGTTGATGCAGAGCTGCTCGAAGGAGTTCAGCTGCAGGGGTGCAGGGATGCGTGAGAGGGACAGAGACCTGGGGGAGCAGAGGTCCAAAGAGAAAGGGGGACAGAGACCCAGGGAGAGGGAACAAGGAACCCAGGAAGAGAGGGACAGAGACCCAGAGAGAAGGGGACAGGGAACCAGAAGGGGACAGGGAACCAGAGAGAGGGGGACAAAGAACCAGAGAGAGGGGGACAGAGATCCAGGGGGAGGGGGACAGGGACCCAGGGGGAGAGGGATACAGACCCAAAGAAAGAGGGACAGAGACCCAGAGAGAGGGTGACAGAGACCCACGGGAAGGGGGACAGAGACCCAGGGGAAAGGGGACAGAGACCCAGGGTGGGTGAGTGGACAGAGTGTAGATAGGAAGATCACAAGGGATGAGATCAGCTGTGGTCTCCTGAGGCGGGCAGGGCCAGAGTGATGCAGCCCCTAGTCCCTGCCCAGCTCGAGGCGGGCACAGACCTGGAAGATCTCGAAGCCAGCGATGTCCAGGATGCCAAGGAAGGAGGCGCCCTGGCGGATGCTGCGGTCCAGGGCTCGGTTGAGGCGCAGCACCAGCCAGCGGAAGAGGCGCTCGTAGGTGGCCTTGGCCAGGGCCTCCAGTGCGAAATCAGCCTGTGGGGCGGGGCAGGCATGCATCACAGGGTGTGGGTCACGGACCACCTCCTAGCCTCAGCACCAACCAGAAGCACCATCAAGAATGAGGATGCTAACAACAACTCACCATTACTTAAACCATATGGTTGGCGAAACAGTGACACTCTTGGCTGCTAACCCAAAGGTTGGCAATTCAAACCCACCCAGTCGCTCCACAGGAGAAAACACTTGGTGATCTGCTCCTGTAACAATTACAGCCTAGGAAGCCCCAGGGAGCAATTCTACTCTGTCACATGGGGTGGCCATGAGTCTAAATCGACTCCACGGCACCTAACAACTGTGTACCAAGTACTATGTGACATGCTCCCGACATATTAGCACATTAATCGCCACCTCTTAAACTAGTTTCTATAAAACCATACAAAACCAAACCCGTTGCCGTCAAGTCGATTCCGACTTATAGCGGACCCCATAGAGCAGAGCAGAACTGCCCCACAGGGGTTCCAAGGAGCGGCTGGTGGATTCGAATTGCTGATCTTTTGGTTGGCAGCCGTAGCTCTTAACCACTGTGCCACCAGGGCTCCCTAGTTTCTATAGCACAGTGGATAAGAGTATGGACTCTGGACCATGACAACCTGGGTTCAAATCTCTACCCTGCCACTTAAAGGCTGTGCAACCTAGGAAAAAAACCAAACCTGTTGCCATTGAGTCGATTCCAACTCATAGGGACCCTGTAAGACAGAGTAGAACTGCCCCACAGGGTTTCCAAGGCTGTAATCTCTACGGAAGCAGACTGCTACATCTTTCTCCTGTGGAGCAGCTGGTGGCTTCAAACCACTGACCTTTCAGTTAGCAGCTGAGTGCTTAACCACTGCACCACCAGGGCTCCTCCCGTAAATATCACAGCCTAGGAAACCCTATGGGGCAGTTCTACTCTGTCATATAGGGTCTCTATGAGTCAATCAGCTCAACAACAATCTACCTGTGGATGTAATCCCATTTGGGAATAGGGTTTTCTTTACTATGCTAGTGAGGACATATAATGGAGGGTGTGTCTTAAACCTAAGGACTTGAGATATAAAAAGTGCAGATTAGACAGAGTGAGAAGCAAGCACAATTGGGAGAAAGACAGACACCAGGTGGAGCACGTGGAGACTGCCAGGAACCAAGGAATGCTGGAGCTAAGAATCTGAGACAAGGATCTTCTCCCAGAGTGCAGAAAGAGTCTTGCCCTAGAGCTGGTGCCCTGAATTCAGACTTTTAGCCTAAACTGAGAAAACAAATTTGTTTGTTAAAGCCACCCACTTGTGGTGTTTCTATTACAGCAGCATAGAAAACGAAACACAGCCTAGAACAGAGCCGGTAACTTAGCAGGCACTTAGCAAGTTTCTTAAGTGAATGAGAAAAAATAGCATAGGCTGTTTAAAGGCCAGGACCCTGGTGCCCAGCTCCTCCTGTGCCCCCCACCAGCCCTGCTTACCTGTTCCTTGGTCTGAGCTTTCTGCACGTAGTCTCGGCCAACTTTGATGCGGGGGGCGAGCAGGGCGCGGGAGAAATCTGTCACCCCCAGTCCCAGGAGGCGGCAGAGTTTCTGCGCAGCTGAGGGCAAGAGGCACAAGGATCCTATCAGTGCTGGGAAGTGGCGCTGGCTGCGAGCAGGAGACAGGGCACTGTCCCCTCACCGTCATGGGCCCGGCCTTTCCTACTTGAGGCATTAAAAGTCCTAAAAACATGTACATCCTCTGGTCCAACAATTTTCCTTGGAACCGGGCTCGGCAAAAAATAATCCCGTATATAAGACTACATGACAAAGATGTTCACCACAGTATTGTTTATAACGGAGAAAAACAGAAAACAACCTGAATGCCCAACAACTGGGGACTAGTCAGAAGAGTAAGGGACCACCCATTTGACAGGGGTCTGCAGTCATTAAAAATTATGTTGGAAACTCACTTAAGATGTATGCCTTTTACTCTCTCTGTCTCTCTCTCTATATATCTTTCACTGTAAAAAAACCCAAAAACTGTGAACAACTACCCAATGCCAGTTAATGATATGCAAACGGAAGTGTGTAGGCGTGAACTGTACTCCACAATGCTCTACAAAATAAGATGGGTGGATGGGCGGACGGATGGACGGATAGGTGGATGGATGGATATGCAATAAAACAAGTGCGGTAAAAGTGTTAATGGTAAAATCTTGGTGGTGGGTATCCGGGTGTTTACTGTAAAATTCTTTCAATTCTTCTGTATGTTTGAAAACGTCATTAATAAAATGTTGGCCAGGGGGACAACTACTGTAGTGAGAGTCCACTGAGGTGACCAAACACAAAACAAATATCTAAAAGTTACCTGCTTGTTCTGTCGAGGGTGATGAAAAACATCTGGAAATGGATAGTTGTGATGGTTGCCCACCGTGACTGTGATCAATGTCACTGAATTGTACCCATAAAAATGGTTACAATGGCAAATGTTTTGTTATATACATTTTATCACACTTAATAAAATTTTTGAAAAATTAATTGCCCTTCTACATTATTTACAAAAGTTAAAAAAAAAAAAAACCAACAACATAAAAAGATACCATTTACAATTACAACAAAAGTAAAAAGTATAGGGTGAACCTTGGACGCATGGAAAAACCCTTCACAAAACGCAAAACCGTAACACATCTCTAAATAAATCCTTTTGACTTTTCTGTATGTTTGAAAATCTTTATAACAAAATAAAATATTGACAATAAAACATAATGAAGTATGTTGGGAAATATTTAAGGAAATGGAATAAAGTATCTAATACATAAAAAGGAAAATACTCAGTTTACAAAACATTATGTAATATACCTTCTACTTTTATAGAAAAAAAATTGCATGGAAAAGTACCTGGACATAAAAATATTAGTATTTTTGCAGAAAAAGGAGGTTTGAGGGTGGAACTGTGCAAGCGAGTATGTTTCTTCCTTCTCTGAATTTAAATGATAATAAAGAAATGTTTTCGAGCATGTCGCACTTCCATAATGGAAAAACAGTTATCACACATGCTCAGCTCCAGCAGAAAAGAAAAAGGGAAAGAAAACATCTGGAAGGAAATACACCAGATGGCAACAGTGGCAATTTCTGGGAAGTGAGGTTACAAGGATTTAAATTTCTCCTTTTTTTTTTTTTTTTTGGTGCCTCTGCAGTTTATAATTCTTTCACGGTAACTTCGTATTATTTAGAAAGTATCTGAGAATTAAAAAAATTGATCTGCAAAAAACAGCACGTTCGGTTTAATGGAGTACTACATTGCCATTAACAGGACAATGTTTATGGGGCTCTAAGGCTTTCAGTCCCTGGGTGGTGCAGTTAAGTGCTCAGCTACTAACTGAAAGGTCAGCAGTTTGAACCCACCCAAAGGTGCCTTGGAAGAAAGTCCCGGCAATCTGCTTCTGAAAGGTCACAGCCATTGAAAACTCTAGGGAGCACAGTTATACTCTGAAACACATGGGGGCACCGTGAGTCAGAATCAACTCTGTGACAACTGGTGGTGGTGGAGGAGGCCTTTTTTTTTTTCCTCTTTGGCATCTGCTGTAGCCTCCGAACTGCTTCTCCAATTAAATGTTTGCAAACACAGAAAATAAAATCCGTGGGATTTCAAAGGAGATCAATTATATGACACGCAGTTCTACCTAGGGGCAGTGGTGGTTCAGTGGTAGACTTCTCGCCTTCCATGTGGGAGACACAAGTTTGGTTCCCAGCCAGTCAGTGCACCTCATGTGTGGCCACCGCCATCACCTGTGGCTTAGGGCGGCATCACTCCAATCTCTGCCTCCATCTTCACATGGCCGTCTTCTCTCTGTGCACCTTTGTGTCTCTTTTCCTCCTCTGATAAAGACACCAGTCATATTGGATTAGGGCCCATCCTAATGACCTCATCTTAACTGATGACGTCTTCGAAGACCTTATTTCCATACAAGGTCACCTCCACAGGTACAGAGGTAAACGGACTTCCACATAGCTTTCTGGGGGACACCATTCAACCTATAACAGTGTATCTCCTCCTGCGCTCTCTGCTCTGTGTATATATAACTTTTTGCCTTTCAAAAACAGAATTATAGCCAATGTTCCTTTTTCAAGTCAAACTAGAAATAGCTGTGCTTCTCTATTATAAAATAATACAGGCTGGATGGGAAAAAAAAAAAAAAATCCTACAAACCAAAAAAGTATAAAGGAAGGAAAATTACCCATCAGCATATGTCCCGGAGATAATTATTGTGAACATTTTTGGTATTTTCCTCTGGGCTTTGTTCTATGCTTGTATAAACGTGGATATACACTGTCAAGGAAATGGAGTCATGTTCCACACCCCTTCCCCTCAAGACGGGAGAAGTTTTCTGTCCTGATTACAAAATTATCAGGGTTCATTTTCAAAAGCTGTACAACAGAAAATATGAAGAAAGGGGTTCTTATTCATGATGCTGTTGATCAGCAAGATCACCTGCTAAGTTCTAGGTTCTGTTCATGTTCATAGCAGGTATGTTGCACGCACTGATTTATTCATTTGTTTTACAAATTGGGAGTCAAAACTGCTTTGAAATCTGCTTTTTTTCCCTTAATGCATTGGGGGTAATTTCCAGGTTACTAACCAGAACTCTAAGGAGGCCTGGTGGTGAGGTTGTTAGGCACTCAGCTGCTAACTGAAACGTCAGCGGTTCGAACCCACCAGCCACTCCACAGAAGAAATATGTGGCAGTCTGCTTCCATAAAGATTACAGCCTTGGAAACGCTATGGGACAGTTCTACCCTGTCGTACAGGTCACTGCGAGTTGGAATCAATTCAGTGGCGATGTTTTTTTGTTTGTTTGTTTATCTGGAACTCTACTGGGGTGTCTTAATCTGGGGACTGTGGATAGAACTGTGTTGTTGTTCTTAGCGGGGCTGAGTCAGCCACCCGACTCGTGCGACTCCATACACAACAGAACAAAACGCTGCCTGGTTCTCAGCCAGCCCCATGATTGGTTGTGGATCAGACTGCTGTAATCCATTGGGTTTTCACTACTGATTTTTGGAAACAGACCACCACGCCTTTCTTCCTAGTCTGGCGACTGGCATGAGACAGTGGTGGACTTCCCGGCCCACAGAGTGAGGCGGCTACAGTGGGTGTGCCAACCCATGGAGCAAGAGAGGTGAGCGCCTCCGGGCAGGAGGCTTCCTGGAGGCGTGGGGTGCCTCTGGGCACTTATCGGCAGAGCTAAAGAAAGAGCTGTAACACTTTCCCAAGCAGGGCAGTGGCCAGGTTGAGAGTGAGGACCCAGGCCGGAGCAGGGCCCAGCAGCAGAAACCTGTCTGCGGACATGACCGGAGAAGCTGTCCTGATTGAAGAACTTATCCTGGGCATTCCTGAACCTGAACTGTAACCTGTTACTTCCATAATAAACCTGTTCAGCATCATAGCAACACATAAGCCTGCAGTGACAGACGGGTGGTGGCTGTGCATGAGGTGCATTGGCCGGGACTCAAACCAGGGTCTCCTGCATGGAAGGCAAGAATTCTACCACGGAATCACCACTGCCTTCTGTTAAAGGTGGTTATCTTGGAAGGCTTAGGATGATGGGGGAACCTTCTCTTCCTCCTTGGCCATACTGGTGTTGTTCAAACTTGCAGCAGAGCTAACACTTATTATAATCAGCAAAACAGCACGAGATGTTATTTTGATACTCAGCAAAGGGTGGGGGCTCTGAGTGGCCCTGGGGTGGAGGCGGGCCTGGCTGGGGTGGGGGACGATCTCTGCGTGGGGGCAGGGAATGTAAGGGGGTGAGGCCTCATCTCAGGGGGTCAGGCAGGTGGCAGCAGGCCTGGTGGCAGTACCTGTGTTGTCGGGCATGGTGGCTTGATCTGTGTTCCGTTCTTTCTTCAGGACGATGTTGCCAAACTGGAGAACAGCCGAGACCATCCGCAGCATGGCTAAGGGTAAGCAAAGGGAGGGTTACACAGGGGGAGGCAGGGAGGGAGGAACAGGTGGAGCACCAGGCATTCCTGGGGCAGTGAAACCATTCTGCATGATACTGTAATGGTGTACACATGACATCATGCATTTGTCAAAACCCACAGGCCTGTACAACACAAAGAGCGAACCCCAGTGTGACCTATGAACTTTAGTTAATAATGTATCAGACCCAGAACTACCATATGACCCAGCAATCCCAATTCCAGGTATATACCCAGAAGTGAAAGCAGGAACACAAACAGAAACCTGTACAGCAATGTTCACTGCGGCATTTTTCACAATAGTCAAAAGGCGGAACCACCCAAGTGTCCATCAGCTGGTGAATGGATAAACCAAATGTGGTCCATACATACAATGGAATGAAGTGCTGATGGATGCCACAACATGGATGAACCCTGAAAACATCACGCTGAGTGAAATAAGTCAGTTGCCAAAGGGCAAATACTGTATGATCTTGCTTATGTGAGATTTGGCTGTTAACCAAAAGGTCAGCAGTTCAAGTCCACCAGGTGCTCCATGGAAACTCTATGGGGCCGTTCTACTCTGTCCTATAGGGTTGCTATGAGTCAGAATTGACTCAACAGCAACGGTTTTTTTTTTTTTTTTATGTGAAATAAGCAAATACATAGAAGCCAAAGAGTATTAGTGGTTACCAAGGGTGGGAGGGAGGTAAGGAAAAGGGGGAGTTTTTGCTTAGGGGGGCACTGAGTCTATGTTAATGGGTGCAGTGCAGTGAATTACTTAATATGGCCCGTCTAGCCATTTACAGTCTGGTGACTCCTGCAACATGACTGAGCGGGACTATGCAAATCAGGTGCTTGTGGCCCATCAAGGGGATTGAATAACCTGCTAATAATGAAAATAAGGTGCATGGAGCCCTTGTAGGGGTGGAACCACAGAAATAAGGTGTATAAAACCCTAACGAGGGCTTTGGTCAGTTTTTCCATCCCGCTAGGCTTAAAATGAGTCATCCCAGAGGCGGAGAGGGGGGACCTCTATACCATAAAGAAGAAGAGCCAGGAATGATGCATGTCCTTTGGACCTGGGTTCTTGTGCTGAGAACCTCCTAGACCCAGGAGACCGAGAGAGCTGCTAACACTGGAAATGGACACCAGAGACAGGGCAAGACAGCAAGAAGCAGCAGCAGAGAAATGGTGGCAGCAGAACCAGGCGACTGGCACGAGACAGTGGTGGACTTTCCAGCCCACAGAGTGAGGCGGCTACAGTGGGCGTGCCAACCCATGGAGCAAGAGAGGTGAGCGCCTCTGGGCAGGAGGCTTCCTGGAGGAGTGGGGTGCCTCTGGGCACTTATCGGCAGAGCTAAAGAAAGAGCTGTAACACTTTCCCAAGCAGGGCAGTGCCCAGGTTGAGAGTGAGGACCCAGGCCGGAGCAGGGCCCAGCAGCAGAGACCTGTCTGCGGACATGACCAGAGAAGAAGCTGTCTTGATTCAAGAACTTATCCTGGGCATTCCTGAATCTGAACTGTAATCTGTTACTTCCATAATAAACCCCATAATTGTGAGTACTATCTCTGAGTTCCGTGTGGCCACTGCAATGAATTATCGAACTCAGCAGAGAAGTAGAGTGGGAGTGATGGCTGGTGTCAGAATTGGTAAAAAGGTTGTGTCTGACCTCTACCTCATAACAATCAGCCTTGGGCTGATGATCTTGATTCCTTCTCCTCCCCCTGAAGTTAGACAAGTCTGACACCACCACGCCATTTTTATAATGGTGGTGGAATAATTTGGAAAAGGATAGCGAGAATGATTGCACAACTTGAAGAATGTAATCAATGTTATTGAATTGAACATGCAGAAATTGTTGAGATGACATGTTTTTTTATGTATATCTTCACCATAATAATATAAAAATAATAATGTATCAGTATTGGTTGACCAATTGTAACACATGTACCACACCAATGCAGGATGTTAATAATAGGGGTACATGGGAATTCTCTGTACTTTCTGCAAACCTAAAAGTGTCCTAGAAAATAGTTTGTTTAAAAAAGAAATTGGATTCCCAATTCACGATCTTAACGAGTTTCTTAAAAATTTAATTTAAAATGCTAAATCAAATTATTCCACCACCCCTCAGTTTAAAATTTATCAGTAACACCGGGCTGGCCTTAAGATATGTGAGCGGATCAATGAATGGTGGTCCCAATGCTATTCCCATAATCAGCTGCAAATCAGACTGCTGTGAGTCATAGGGTTTTTATCAGCTGATTTTTGGAAATAGATCAAAATAATTCTTGGTTATTTTGTATCTGAGATTTGCTTTATCACCATCTGATGTCTGTTCATGTTGTCTGTTTTATAAAGTGATGTATATAAGATTAAAGGGGATTTACAGAAATTAAGGAGAGAGGTAAGGAGCCCTGGTGGCACAATGGTTAAAACTCAGCTGCTAACCAAAAGGTCTGCGGTTTGAACCCACCAGCGGCTCCGCAGGAGAAAGACCTGATGATCTGCTTCCACAAAGATTACAGCGTAGCAAATCCTATGTGGCATTTCTACGCTGTCACTTGGGATTGCTATGAGTGAGAATCAACTTGATAGCACACACAACAAGGGCATGGTGACTTATAGTGATATGGGAAGACTTCTAAAATATTGAGTGAAAATGTGAAGTGCAGAAGGGTGTGTATGACATGCCATTACCTGTATTAAAAAGGGAGGGAACATTTACATTTTGTAAGCAGGCAGTGCTGCCCCCTAAAGTCTGATTTGGGAACTTGTAGGGAGGGAGACGGGTTGTCACATTGTAAGTGGGCAATGCTGCAGCCCTGAGCCCTTCGTACAAGTTTAGCTGCCCTGGTGGCGCAGTGGTTCAGCATTTGGCTGTGAACTGAAAGGTCAACAGTTCAAATCCACCAGCTCCTCTGCAGGAGAAAGATGTGGCAGTCTGCCTCATAAAGATTACAGCCTTGGAAACCCCATGCAGCAGTTCTACTCTGTTTTATAGGGTCGCAATGAGTCAGAATCAGCTCAACAACAGGTTTGGTTTGGCTTTGAGAGTAATTCCCACCTGTTTTACATATAAACACAAAGTGTTTTGTGGTTGGTTTCATACACAGTGAATTTTCTGGGAGGGCAGCCACCGTGTAATCCAAGGGAAGACTGTCTTTGGTTTTGTTCTGAACTTTATCAAGATTTGGTCACCATTTCAGAACAATCTCATCTTTGACAGCAAAGCTGTGTGTGGGATTTGAGTCAAGACATAGCATGCTTTCTTTAGGCTGTGTTTGTATTTGTTGCTGTCGTGGTGATGTTATGCATCAGTGCAAGCACCCAGCTACCTCATCAACTGTTCATTCTAGAACACTTTTCCCTATTTACAGATTGAAATCTATCTTGGTTTATTTTTACTTACTCTGTGCCAGGCCCTGTTCTAAACACTTTACAAAAACGAAGTCACTTAATCTTTATAGTGACTCAATGAGGCAGGTCTTGCTCTTACCCCCGTTTTACAGATGAGGAAACTGAGGCACATACAGGTAATTAACTCGCCCAGGATCACCCAGTGGTAAGCAGCAGAGCTGGGATTCAAACTCGGTCAGTCTGACTCCACAGTCTGTGCTCTTAATTTCTCTTCTCTCCCTTTCCCCTCTTTTTAGTATAAAATTTTAATGTAAACACGTACAAATAAAACACATACAGAAAAGTGTACAAATCATACACATCCAGCTCAATGAATTTTTACAAGTAAACACACTCGTGGAACCAGCCCTTCAAAAGCCCCCTCCTGGCCACCTCATTGAACATGGATGAATTTCACAAACACAATGGTCAGTGAGAGAAGCCAGCATAAAAACGAACACACTGGATGATTCTATTTATACAACAGAACAGGTTAAATGATGCCAGGCTGTTCGAAGGCAGGTGAATGGTTACATTCGGGGGTGTTGGTGATGGAAAGGGGCACGAGGGGGGGTCTAGGTGCTGGGTACATGGGGTTCACTTGCAAAAATTCCCTAAGCTGGTGCTTAGGAGCCATGTGCACTTTGGGGTGTGTATTCTACACTTCAATAGACGGTTTACTTCTCAAAAGGCGGTGGGGAGGGGCACAACATCGCTTCTGGAATACTCCTGCCAAAAATGTGTAACCTGAATCTAATCGGGAGGAAACACACCCAAACTGAGACAAAACAACTGGTCTGTAATCGTCAAAGGTGTCAAAGTCACAGACACTAAAGAAAGACTGAGGAACTGTTCCAGACTGAACGAGACTAGAGAGACGTGATGACTGAATGAGACAGGTGATCCTGGATGAGGGGAGAGTGTTTGTGAGTGTGTACGGGTAGTGTGTGTGTGTATGGGTTGAGTGTGTGGGTGTGGGTGAATGTGAAAGTGTGTGTGCGTGTGAGTGCGTGCTTCTGTGTATATGAGTGTGTGAGACTGTGAGTTGTCTGTATGTGTATGTGTGCGAGCTTGTGTGAGAGTGAGTGTGTGTGTATGAGTGTGAGCTTGTGTGTGTGACTGTGTTTGTGAGTTGTGAGTGTCTGCTTGGGTGTGAGTGTGAGTAATTTAAAAGCTTTTTTTCTATAAAGGACATTTATTGGGAAAACTGTCCTGAAGTCTGTAGATAATACAGTCAAATCTGCGAAAGTTGGAACCTGTGTAAGGCGGAAACCTGTCAGAGAAGGAAAACGCCAACATTTTCCTAATAGAGAGCAATAGAACAAGCCAGTCCCATCGAGTTCCGGCTCTCACAGGTTTCCCGGTAGTACTGTGCCAACATTAATTGCTTAAGAGAATGTTCTTAGGAAACTGACATTTTCAGGGGTGTGTGAGTGTGTGAGAATGTGTGCACATAATTAAAAATTTTTTTTGCTATCAAGGACATTACCGGAACAACTGTCCTCAGGTCTGGGGAGCTTGGGGTGGGGACTGACAAAGCCATGGGTGGGGCTTTAAGAGTGCAGGGGTAGGGCCTGGTGAGCCAGGGGTGGGG